GCTGAGCTGGAAATTCAAAGTTGATTCACCCTGAAGGAGCTAGCTTATCTAATATGTGTGTGGGTATTGAGTTAACTATTGATTAAGACTTGTCTGATTATATATTGTTGTCTAGAGCTTTGTAGTAGCAAATAGAATGAGTAACAGGCAACCTAGAAAATATTGTGAGAGTTTCTAGCGCTTTCAACTATGGGGATTCTTAAAAGAAGGTATTAAAATAATATTTAATGGTGGCATAGAAGGGCAGATCTTCATTTCGGACTCGAAAAGAAATTTCACTGCATAACAAACAAGTTGATTAAAGATAGCAGTACTTTCTTGGCATCTAAGTCTTGTTCTCTCAGAGAGAAAGCTGGCAAGCCTATGCAAATAGGCAGTCGATCTTACTGGTGTATCTTGGCCATGAGTAAGATTCCAGTACAGAACATCCTTTATGGGAGATGTCTTTTCTAATATATATTTATGCTTTGTCTTCTTTCAGACTTCTTGTAATGATTATTATACATAGGAGCATACTTGCATGAGGACAGAGAGGTGGGGGGAAGCAAAAGTAGCACTCGGTGAGAAGTTCAGGAGTTCATCCTTATGTTCCCCTGTCCCATTTTTGTCTAAGGCTGTTTTTTGTAATTACTTGGATAGGTACTCTTTAAATGTAGATTGTTATGGCTAGTGTTGCATATCTGAAATGTTGACCAATAGCAAAATGCAACTAAATTTTGTCAGGTGTTGAGAGAGAAGGTCTTTGTTCAGTGTAGTGCCTTTCAAAAGCACTCAGGATGAAAATGTTGGGCTGAGCTTTTGTTTGTGTGAACACAAAAAGCCAAGGTAGCAGCTGGCTTAGTGTGGGACTTGATACCAAGGTGTAATCCTCAGGGTGGGGAGTGCCAGTGAGGCGTGACTCAGGGTCTTATTTTCTCTTCAGCTTTTTTCCCTTTAACAGGGTTCTTGCAAGCACTCGTTATGCTTCATGTTGATCTGATCATGAGATGTTTAACAGTTACAACTTATTTCAGAGCTTATCATCTTTTATGCATTACAGCCTCCTCTCCCCCCCGCCCCCCAAAAAAAAAGATGAGTCCTTTTTACAGAGGAGACTTGTAAGTACATGAATAACACATAGTCTGAGCAAGTGAGTTATTGCTTTTCCAATGTGTGCTGATCAAAACCCGAGATATTTGTTAATGGGTATGACCATATATTTCTTTAAGTTCAAAACCAGACAGCCAAAAACTCCAGTACCATTCTTCAGACTGAATTTCATTCTGCTGTTTAGTTTCCACTAGCAAGCTTCCCTTTCAAAAGGAATCTTGCTTAAGCTAAACCATCTAAACAAGGCCCGAAACAGTAATTGTACGTAGTGCTTATTATATACAAGTTCATGCACAGATATTGCAGTATAGTTAAGGCTTTGATAACACACACACACACCTAGGAGTCATCTGTGTTACCTCTAGCAGGTATTTCCATGTATTACCTGCTCTTACAAAGCTCCTGTTGTAAATCACAGTGAAAGACTGCTATTGGGATGGGAACCTGGATGATGTCAGCAAAGTAAGTAAGTGTGTCAGGTATTCATATTCACCTCCATGATTTTGTGCAGACAGGGTAGATTTGTTTCTTTGTTCTCCAACCTGACAAATGCTGTCAAGTGATTGCTCAGGATGTAGCTGCATATTAGTAATGTAAATGCACACATTAACGAATGTTTGGTTCCCTATCAGTCTGTGCCAAGTCTGTCAACCTGTCAGTGGGTGGGCAAATCGCTCTCATCTGTTATCAAACTTGTTAGGGCAAGCATAGCAAATGATATTGTCCCCAGAGTATCTTAGATTGACTGAGCGTCCTGAACAGCTTGTACTATCAGGGAATACTTGTGGCCTTTGTATCTGCATTTCAGGGAAACAAAAGGATAAAATTCCAGACACCGTCCAGTGCTTCTGGCAGTCCTTTGGCGATGCCAGTAGATTTAGGTTGTAAGTATGCTGTTGATTTAATGGCTTTGTGTTTTGAGAGTGTCGATGCAAGCTGTATTTCTGAGAGACTCGGAGGCTTTCATAGCATTGTATAAATATAGAATATGTCTAAAAATAGTTATTTGCGTTATATACAAACCTGAAAACGAGTGTTGTTTACTTACCTGGCTGAATGTGTTCTGTGGCCAATATCTCATTAATTGGCCAGATGTGAGTACTGCTGCTTCACTTCAGAAATTACTGTTTCTAACAGTTGTGTGTGATAATGCTATTTAAGTGTAGTACTATTGATTATGTGATGACACAGGTAATGTGTGTTTTAGTAGTCATATCGATACACAAATGCATTATTCTGGGTTTTCGAGGCTCAGCTGGTCCTTTCTAGTTTAGTGGGTTTTTTTACTTTGTGTTTTGATTTCCATCTCATAGTATGTTTAAGAAACATCTCTCTTGGAGTGAGCAGAATGTCCACGGAGGAGGTGGCTGTACCGAAGGAGGAGTGCTGCACTGGCTGCTGAGTGCAGCTGGGAAACAGAAGGAGCTAGGTGTATGATTGGCAGAGAAATCACATTGGTAAGCAGGATTGCCCCTACATCTTCTGGAGAAATAAAGCAAATGATATCACATTCAGCTAAAATCTGTTTCCATCTGTGGAAGCTGGCTTTGTTCTTGTTTGCTACATTAGTGCAGTGTGCTAAGGTACACTGTGAAGTACAAAGTAGGTTTTAAAAATAACACTCAAGCTTTTATGTTTGAAAAGCTTTGGGCTAGTTGGTACATCCTTCAAATGCGTTGTGTAGTTACTGTAAAAATAGCAGCGGAAGAATGTGCTTATAATGTGTGACAGTGGGTACTGCTAACAACTCTGAGGTGTTTGGGGTATTGGTGTGAACAGGAAATGCTCTGCTGTCGTAGATCTGTCAGTAGTGTGGATTCCCTTCTGCAGATCTTCAGTCAGCTGCAGTGAGCAGCCTTACCCTTGGCTCTGCACTAATCTATAATTTATAGAGTGAGGGCAGAACTGAGTTCGCTGGAATAAAGATCTGCTAGGTGGGGAAAACCAGCTGCCTTTGTCACATCTGTGTTGTGCTGGGTGCCGTTCTGTTTTTCACTTGATTTGTTCTGTAGCTGAGCTTTGTCATCTTCTTACTGCTACTTCAAGAACAGTTGTTCCCAAGGCAGTGCTCTCAAAAAGAAGTCATGTTATATCAGATGATCTAGCAAACTTTCAAGGATGTTACGACTGGAAAAAGTTGCTGTTTGAATTTAAAATTAAAACTAAGCTTTTAAAGTAACAGCAGTATTAATTGACAGTAGATTGAATGGAAAACTGTGGAACAAAAGTCTATTCAGTAAAGGATGGAGATTGTTTCTCTATTGTATGCTTTGCAGGAAGAAACTTGCATGTGCAGTCTGTGAACAGCCATATAAATAACTTTGGACTGTTTTGACGATTGTGAGGTGCTTCAGTGACTAGTAACCACTGGCACGTAGTTATGAAGCCACCTGACAGTTAGCAGTGGTTATGATGTTCACAAACCTCTTTCGTGTCCTTGCTATTCAAAGAAATCTCCATGCTTATGAAGTCACTGTTACAATATTGGATTAATGAGGCTTTCCTTTATCTCTGGTGATTGATGGTTCTAGTTTCAGCCCTAAGGAGCAGGAAAGGTGAGCACCATTAGAGCTGATGGGTTGCTGAATAGCGTATTCCACAGGGACACAGAAGAGAGGAAGAATTGATCCAAACCAAGGGTGTCAGGTCTAGTGTTCCTTTTGCTTCTGTATCTTGTGTTGGAGTTCACTGAGGATTTTTTGGACCGATGTTGATCTTCTCTTAGTCAGAAAGAATAAAAACATTTAGGGCATTTGGACCCAATATCAAATGCATCAAACTCTCAACCACATGCCGGTGCCATGTATACTGGGAAAGCTGTGGCAGTCTTTGCTGTTAGTGTGCTGCAGAAGGTGAAGGTTCTGGGACCTTTTCTATTGAAACAAAAACAAAACAAAAAAAAAAACCACCAAAAAACACTGCTACTTTTTGTTTTGTACTCCTAATAGTACTGGTTATTTAAAGCTACAAAACATTTACATATTAGTTGATTATTTACTTGGGTAAATATTGACCATTTGAATGTAAAACATACATCATTCAGATGGGCCCTTTAAGATCCCATGTGATGCGTCTTTCTTTGTGTGGCTTTAAGAAGTTTAAGTTCTGAGCTTGCTTAGGAGATTGCTGGGTATCCCTAGAAGGGTGAATTTCTCCCGCACACAGCCATCCTCAGCAATTGGTAAGCAGTGTTGCAGTGGTGTCATAGACTTTGCTGTAGCTGCTGCTTTAGGCCATTGGTACTAAAGGCGGGCAGGTGCCTGGCTTTACACAGTGATAAGTGGGTGAAAGAGGGGCATGGAGCTCTTTCAAGGGGATGGCAACTACTGCTGCTCAATTTATCGTAACGAACAGTTCCTCCAGTTTGTGGGCAATATTTTTAGTAAAACCTCTGTGTAAAAACAAACTTCTGTTACAGCAGATCTTTTCCTCTGATCCTGCTCTCACCGTGGATTGGATAGCACCTTCTCACTCTGCTTTCTGCACTTTGAGGAATTTTAGTAGAAACTGGCTGTCTAAGCAAAACTGAATTAATTCCCACTTGCCTGTGTGTCCAGATGTTGGTTTTGAAAAGTTCTAACAAAAGAAACTCAAATAGCGGAACTCATTTTGTTAGAAGTGCGTTTGAAGAGTCTCCTGCTCATCTGATAATGGGCAGAAGTACTTGTTCTGGCTTATCTCCTGCAGGTGGTCTCACAGAACTGCTGTCTTCAGGCAAGGGCTTTTCTGTTGGTGTCGCTTTGTTCTTATGTATTGCGGGAATCCCTCCAAGCAAACTGTAACACTGATTTTTTTTGTTTCAAATGAGGGAATGGTGTTTTCATTAATAAGTTAGATTGCTCTGGTGTATTGCTATTGCTTTGCTGTGTATGATCCAACTAATTCTGAAAACTCTTCTTATTTTCTGCTAGGCTGGTGTTTGGGATGCTGTATCCTGCATATTATTCATACAAAGCTGTGAAGACAAAAAATGTGAAGGAATATGTAAGTCACGCTGCTTTTAATTGCTTAATTAATTAGATGCCTCTGCTGAGATAAAACAGACATTTTCATTATGTAGTGCAATAAATTATGGAAGTTTGGTTTGATCATATTGGCAGTAGATACAAAACCTGTGTGAATGTAGTGGTAGTGCTATGTTTTTTTTATTTTGAATGATAAAGCTTATATTCTGAAACTTTTCATGTTAGAAAGTATCCAATGTACTGTCCTGTCTAAAGAACAAGAGGATTTTAAAATATAAGATCTATGTTAGCTGTATTTTAGTTAAGTACCTGAAATAGTGTAATTCTGGGCAGGGAGGAGAGAAGGAAGTTTCCGAATTCTGCCAACACATGAGGGTAAGCTGTGACAGATTTGCTTCTTGATGACCATGTCAGTAATAGCAGTGGTTTAACTGTTGTATGGAGATCAAGAGGACATCCAACCCGAGAAAAGGGGTGGCTCTGGGTAACCACTGCTTTTCAAAGATGAGGACAAATGTAACCAGGGAGGGAGAAGATTGGATTAAGATGGTGGAGAAGAGCGAAGCAAGCCAACATAACCCAAGCCATTCTATGATTCCGTGGGGAAAGACATTTATGCGATTCAGAATCTATCTGTTTATGTTTCAAAGTGAACAATGATGATTATTTCAAAAATGACATGCAGTTGTGAGAAGCTTTGGTCACTGAGTTACTTGCCTATTTTAAGAGACAGCCAAACTTGATTTTGGCAACTAACTTATTGCACTTCGACTTGGCTCCCTGACTTAGGATAGTCAGTGCTGTTGGAATTTTAATTTGGCAGTTGTAGCTGTGACTTAATGCTGCTGTCTGGATGTTTAATGGTGCTGCTCTGTACTTTGCTGCAGCATCAGAATGCAGTAGCTGTTGTCCCTCCTCTTGTATGTCTTGCATTTAGCTTGGTTGCATCATCAAGGCTTCAAAATGGACCTCGTGTTCATACTTCTAATCAGCTTGTACACAGAAACCACACCTTATTTGTGCATATAGAGCTAATGCCTGCCACAGGTAAGCTTCTAGGAGGAAAAAGTGTCAAAAATGAGAGAACTTCCTGTGTACCATGCTTTCTTTACCTGTCAGGAAGTACATAATGCAAAGAACATAAATCCAGTTTTCTTCCTTGCTCCCTCAAAAGGCATCTACAGTGTTAATAGAGGATGGCAGTTGCCAATTCTAATGCAAGAAATAATCTTAAGAATTGATTACCAGTATGTTTTCTAAAAAATAATAAAAATACTATGACACTAAGATTCTGACTCAACTGTCAATTAGCAGTGACTCTTCTTTTTTGAGATGCCTGTCACACCAGACCTTTAGTAGAGCCTCGAATTGTAGTTTTCCAATTGTTTCAAATTTTATTCAATTTGAAAGCATGATTTTTCAATCAGCTGTGGTCTTTGACCAGTCTCTGCATCTGCAGTTGCATCCACAATGTTCCCCAGACTGAGATGAATAAGAAACATCACATTGTTTCTAAGCCGCCTTTAATTTTTCAGTGCAGCTCTAAGACTTTGTCACAGCTAGGGAATGACCTAGGATGATTCCTCAGTGAGTTACCACAACATTGCCAGTTGGGATAAATGTCCAGATAGATCTTGGGAACGATCCATATTTCATCTTCCCATCTGGGTCATTTTCTTCAGAGAGAGCGTAGGTTACTGCAGCGTTCCAAATGGCACAGCTCTGCTGCCAGTCATGTAATGGCCCAAGCCCAGCTTCCTTACCAGGGCTGTGTGTGGCTCAGGACCATCTGTTTCTGTTTACAGGATTTCAGGAGCTTCATACCAGTGACATTTTGGACATAGCCAAAAGCCTTCTGCCAGGTTTTTGGTTTCGTTTTGTTGTTTTCTTTAATGGTATCTTGACATACTGTGTAGGCCATGATGCTGCAAAATGTTCACAGATGATTTCTGAAGAAGTGAGGGGGTTATTGCTTCTGTTTTTGGTAATGTAAAGCACATGTGGACTTCAGGTTCTAGAAATTAAGTCTTCTCCTTTGAGGATAATTATTTGTTCTTTTAATTACCCTGGTTTAATGGAATGACTGAAGATCTTTGAGGAGTTTTTTCAGTGTATTGCACCAAAGTGCCTGTAATAATCATCTGAAACATAGTTTAGAAGTCTGAACAACCAGACTTCTCAACTTGGCTTCAAAATCCTGACTTGAAAGGCTGTGTATGCTTCAGCTGAAGCCAACAAAGATGAGCTTAACGCTCAGTAGAAATAAAAAGCCTGACAAAATAATCTGCAGTTGCCCTTTTAACATAAAAAGCAAAACCTAATCAAAGCTTCTGAAGCTTTTATCTTGAAGAGTTGAATTGGTAACGGTCTGTAGGGCAGCATCAAAATATCGAATATCACCTTTTGTTTTTCCTTATGTTTCTGGTATGGAAGCCACTGAATTGCATGTGTTCTCTCATCAGGGATATTTTTGGTACCAAGTGCATTGGTTCAGTTGGGATATAATTTGACCTTCTTGAGAATCTTTGCCCTAGCAGCAGCAGGACTCCTGGCAGATGTCACGTGCCCTTCCGCGGAGCGCTCGCTTCTCTTCACAGCATCTGGAGAGAAACTCACCTTCTAATGTTCCTAACTGGATAAATAGATGTTGATTAAATAATGAATAGCCTGGGAAAAAGATGTGGGAAAAAATCAGTATTGCATGGCATTTTAAACATGCAAAATTGGAGCAAGGATAGATGTTTATTTTTATTCAGGTGTTGACTCTGGTTCACGGAAGGGTCACCAGTCTAACTGTCACATGGCCTGTCAGAGATGACTTCAGCTGTTGTGTACGTTTGTCTTAGCTTAGTCAAGCCTGAAATATCTAAATCCTCTGAGAGACTGAAATGAAGTGTCATCACATGACTGAGTTTCTTTTCAAACTGAAATGCAGAGAAGTATTTAAGATAAATAGGTCTCATGACAGAGGAAGTAGTTTCTAAGCTTAATGCACTGTTATGGAAAAGGCAGCAGCATAGCATGAGGTTTTGAGACTTACTGAAGTCCACTTCAAAAAAATGTATAGATCAAATCTGAGCCACATGCTCTGTGGGAAACTATGTATATTGCTGCTTTTGAAAGAGACTAACATGAATTTAAGACTTGAAATGAATTTACTGCATCTGGTTGCAGCAGTTGCTAATTATTTTTTTTAAAGCATAGATGGCATTAGAATGTGAAGAACGTGGGTGTTCAGTTAAGCATTGCTTGTTCAGTTGTTTCTGATTAGCACTGACCTATTTTGGAAATATGTTATGCTTGGCCACTGATGATTTAGAGAAGACATGCATGGAACTACTTCTGTAGTATTTTTTCTGAGAGATGTAATCTGTCTAGAAAAAAAAGTCTGAACAGATGTTCAAGGAAATTAGAGATGTAATTAACTACTAAAATACACGTTTGAGGGGTTTTTTAAAGAGCATTTTCTGGTTCCAAAAGAGTGATGTATAGTGTAAATCTTAAAGCAACAACAAAAAAACAAAACCCGAAACAATCCCAACCTCCCCCTCCAAGCCAAACCAACAAAACCTCCACACGCACAAGTACAAATAAACTCTGAAGCATGAAGGTGCGTAGATGCTGGCTCTTTTGTTAGCACGGATTTTGTGGTTCTTGGCATATGAATAGCATTCAAGTTCTGTGAAAATGCTTTTGTTCTGCATTGCTCCAGTGTCAGTACCATAATGTCAAGTACATATGGAGAACCTAAATGCAAAATATAGCTGAGTAACATATGTTGTGAAGTGAAAATAAGGGCTACTGACTTACTAATGCTGAAAATTTTGACTGTACTAGAAACATACAGATAGTGAAATATTCCTTAGTGCTGTACTGGGAGTTGCACTTCGTACTTATGATAATCTACTGACTCCTTACAGTGTTGTTTTTTCTTTTTCCTCATCATTAAAGCTTATTAGACTGGCTTCATGGACTTGATTCTACCTCTTAAGTGAGGTGGTGACCTCGGTGACCCAGGTATTTCACCTAGCTCATGGCTGCTGCCACCAGTTTTTACAAACAAAAGCCTTCAGGGCCTTTCTATAATTTCAATTGAAGCCAGACTGAGATGCTGTTGAAATTCTTGCTTTGACAGATCTGAACTGATGGACTGTTAAATGTATTGTGTATTCTATGTAAAGGAAAGAGAAATGAAATAAATTCTTACTGATGATGGTATTTTAATTTTCAGGTTCGCTGGATGATGTATTGGATTGTATTTGCTCTTTATACAGTTACTGAAACAATAACTGATCTAACAATCTCTTGGTAAGAGCATGCTTTCTACAAACAATGGATGCAGTGATATTTGATTCTCATGTACTTTGATTTGTAGAGATGTACCTTTATAAAAGAGGCTATGTTTGTAGAGAGTATAATTCTCTTTACCCTGGTAGAAGATTTCAGTGTGTGTGAAGGATTGTGTTTCCAAGCTTGCTGTACAGGGCTGCTCAAGGTGGACACTACAAAGCATCTACCTTTACTGTAGAAGCTGAATAGCAGAATTAAATGCTTGGAAGTGTAGGTTGATTTCTTTGTTTAGGATTGTGTAATGCGAAGCAACTGTGTTACTTGTTTCTATTTTCTGCATATGATATGTTCATTTCAGAAAATAAATCAATAGGTCTATAACTTGTTTAATTTCTGTCTAGTATGACTTACTGCATGCGTAGAACATTAAATGCTAACAGATTGTTGTTTGGAGAGATCTTGATTTAATTAATGCTTGTTTCTTTAATCCTGTTGTTAATTTCATGCAACTTTCAACTTGTCTTTAGGTTTCCACTGTATTATGAGCTGAAAATTGCTTTTGTTATTTGGCTCCTTTCTCCATATACTAGAGGGGCGAGTTTAATGTACAGGAAATTTCTCCACCCTCTTCTTTCTTCTAAAGAAAGGGTAAGAAATAACTTCTCATTTTTAATGCCTAATATGGAAATACTATATGCTGAAATACTAACCGTTGCTAAACAAGTCATAAAAGCAGATCAGTGTGTTACTGGCTCATCAAGCAGCATGAACTTGGACTAGGAAAGTGCACGTGACTGTCCATATGCTTACTTTTATTTAATTTACAGTCTGAGACTTTGTATTGACATGAGTTAGCATAGTGTTTTCTGGTTTACCTAGTGTACCTTTGGGAGTCCAGCTGAGTGGAAGTATGCAGTCCAATTATTCTCTGGAAGAGTACAAACAGAAGCAAAAGTACAGTTTTAGCAACAGCTCTTCATGTCGTCATTTTTTCTAGCACATCCTACAAATAGAACTCCTCAGGATGAATTATGTTGGTGACTTTTCTGGTTTGCAAAGTGACAAGGATATGAAAATAGACTTTCTACTGAATTTTAAGGGACCAGTCTGCAAAAAGAAAGTGTGCAAACAGAACGTAGCTGAAAGAATATTTAGCTTTATCCAATGTATAAAGACCCCAGATTTGTTTAATTCTTTTTAGTATTGTATTTGGATGTGTGGAAAGAGTAATTTGTGAAGACTGCTGCTGCTAAACCTTGCCGTGTGGAGCATAAGCAGTCAGTGCAATAGATCAGGACAGGGTTTGGCCTTTACTAGGCAAAACAGGCAGTTGACATGTTTTGAATGATGTCATCTTGGCCTTAGGAAGGTTGAACTGCAAATGCTTTGTAACTTCATAAGCTAAAGGAGTTTTTTCCCTAGTCTGCTATCTATTGTGGATTACCTTGAAGCCTTTACCTCCAACCCTAGCCATTTACCACAGCTGGAGATAACTGTCCTGGCTTTACTGTCCTTGATACTTACCTGTGTCAGAGCTCTGGTCTCTGAAGTACTTTGTGAGGTGGCTCTACCTTTCTGAGGAATTAATCTCATCTTGAGCATGTTGTTTACCTTGTATAGCATTTAACTGGCAATTTAAGTTTGCTCTCTACAAGAGACTTTCGTAGCTGCAAGATTTCTGAGTGGGGTAAAAGTCTTCTGTTTTATCTTCTTGTTTGACCAGACTGGAACCTTTTTAAAATGAGAGCGTATAAGTGAATGGAAGACTAGTATACAAAGCTAAGAGTAATTGTTCCATTAAATATTTCCTTCAAGATTTCTTCTGTCATCTTCATTTGAAGAAAAATATTACTGTGGAGTAATGCGATTCTCATATGTGCACCCTTTTAATACTGAAATATGCTTTGCTTTAGGAGATTGATGAGTACATTGTACAAGCCAAAGAAAGAGGCTATGAGACCATGGTGAATTTTGGAAGACAGGGGTTGAATTTGGCAGCAACCGCTGCAGTGACGGCAGCTGTGAAGGTAACCTGCTTACACTGATTGCCTTTGTCCTTGATAGACTTGTTGAATGGTGTGATGTGATATTCAGGTTTAGCCATTCCTACATAAAAAGTTTTAACTCTGCAGATGTTTAGAGAGCCTGGAACACAATCCAAGGGCTTCATACTGTGTTTAAGATGACTTCTATTTATTTTTTCAAATGATGGGGATCCAATTACTGTAATTCAGAAGATACCATGCATTTTTCTATACAGGCTTTTGGTAAACATGACCATTGTTTCTTTTCTGTCTCTGTTGTGCTTTCTTGTTGGTAAACAAACTGTTTAAAGGATTTCTGGCTTCTTTCTGCTGTTTTTCTCCAATCAACTTGAGGTAATTGCATATTTGAAGTAAGGCATGAAAGATTACTACCACAGATAAGTTTCTTGACACAATTAACTTGTTTGCAACTAGTTGATTGAATTATTAAATTAATGCACTAAGCATAGGCTTGCATATTGCTGCTTAGCATTGTTTTACTTTATATAATTTTTGTTAAATCATGTAGTAAGCAACCTGTGGTTGTTCTGGATCCAAGTTCCAACAAAACTCGACCTTCAGATGAATTTCAAAGGATTCTGGGTCTAGCAAAATAAAATGCAAGCTTCTAGGTAAGCTTCTGAGCAACTTGAAGGGCCACCAAAAGGGAGTAGAAATGACTAGCAAGTTGACTTTTTTGCTATGTGTATTTAAAGAAAAATACAAAGAAGTGTTGTAAGAAAGATGTGTATGTCTGAGATCAGTTATAGTTTTGAGGCTATCAGGATTAATTTCCTCTGGGGAATAAATGGAACTGCTGTGTTCATCGTAATGGGACTGAAAACTTGAAAAACCAGTACGTAACAGAAAGTACTATGGTGGTCCTGGGCAGCCACAATTAAGGAGGTACAGCTAGCATTTAATTTCCATACTTTTATGCAAACTTCTTTTATAAAATGAGACATTTTTGAGAACTGCATTTTCAAACTGTATCTCAGAAAGGATTGGAAAAACAATCATGTGTACCTTGTTTGTTCCCTTTCTCTTTATAAATATGTATGTGGGGGGTAGCTTAAAAATAACTGTTTTACAGTATGGACAAAATGAACCTCACATGCTCAAAGCGTGGTTCAGTTTGACCACCGATTCTTTTTTTGGGACTGGAATTCTTAGTATTGCCTTGAGGCATGATGTAGAATGAAATAGAGTACACTTCTAGAATGAATGTTTCCAGAATGAAAGTAGGTTGTTTAAAACAAAACAAACCAACCAAACAAAAACAGTGACGACAAATCTAACTTGGAAATACTCTGCTGGGAAAAAGTTCTAAGAACTATGCTATTTAAAATGCTAAAGATGCAAATTCTTTGCCAAACAGCAACCATAACTTGGCATAATGTGCACCTGTAATGATGCTTATGCTCTGTGTGTTTTCCCCATGTATGTTTGTCTGGCTAAGACTGGATAGTTCCTCGTTGATCCTTATGGTGCTACAGAAATAGTATGAAATAAATGACACAAATATCTCCTCCCAGTTTCTTCTAAAGTATGAGTAACTTCTGCCTAAATGTCATCCGTGGTTGGATTTTGTTGCTGTTCAGCTGTAACTGGCAGGATGCCTGCTCCATTTGTTAAAACTTATTCGACATGCTCACGACTACTTGTACGGAATTATTTCAGTGCAGATGAGAAGTTTGGGTAAAACAACCACAATACCCAAGACCTAATATAGGTATGATTTAAGCAGCATGAAAGAAGAGACCCTCTGAAAATCTTTATTTTGGCATGTTAAACCTCTGTGCAGTTTGTCATTCCAAAATGCTGAGCGTGATTACTCCATGCAGACAAATGGAGACAATGCATGTGTTCTTGATTTTCTTCCCTATTTTTGAAGAGTTGACTGCTGCCTCCAGCAGGTGGAAAGATTATCCCTTCAGCATGAGCTGGTGGAGCATGCTATAGGATTTCAGGAATGGAATTCTACAGTGTATTAGTGGGATCAGTTTTGATGGAAAGGAGAAGGACTTTCATCACTTTTTTTTTTAATGGAGCAAGCATGCCTATTCTGACACTTTGGGTCTCAATGTTGGTTCTCAAATTAGGAGCAGAGAATGTGGGAGGTTAAAGACAAGAGAAGGTCTGAAGGAAGCTGCTTAGTAAAGTATTCAAGTAAATGATGTTAGGATCTCTGCTTTCTCTGACTGTAGTAACTTTGTTTGGACTTGAGTAAAATTGCTTAGAAACTCTATGGAATGTTTTCAAGAACGAAGGTGGGAAAGAGTGGTTTCTCCAAGGACTGTCAAAGGAGAATGGATTTAATATTAAATGCTCGATTAGCTGTACAAAGGAAGCTGAAGCAGACAGGTCAGTCTGCTGAACTGTGACCTAGATTTAAGCCTGCTGAGCTGTAAAGTTAAACTGCAGTTGGCAGGAGTTGTGGCTTACAGTTTAGATTCCTATACTGATATTTTTAGCTGGTACTTGTTAGCCACTGTCCACATGAAGCTTGTGTCCAGACAACACAAGCTGATTGTAAAGCTGCTCTTTCTCTTAAGCAGTTGATAAGGAAGTGTGTTTACTTGGTTTACCTGCCCTAACTGTATTTGTTGATCTACACCAGTTGCAATGCAGAGTGTCAAAAGCTGCTAAATGGCATACATTAGAAAAGTGCATTGTTACTGTCGTGTTAATTAAGAATAAAAACTTTGAAAAAGCCTTATTTTGGAGTGCTTTAAGATGAAGAACACTCTAGACTGAATTTTACAGTTTGCTAATAAAAAAAAAACACCCCCAAAACACTTCAAAGGTATAAAAGAATCAGCAATAAGATGAATTTGATCACATGAAAGTTGTTAGGCAATTTCAGTTCCATTTTATATTGCTTTTTGGGATTGTCTACAACTGGAGTTCCAGCAGTAATTGTATTTTGGTGCATCTGCTTTCCACATCTTGGAGATGCAACTTCAACTGTGCATTCCAGTTTTTGCCCACACGTATGTTCTGACTTCTTGGGCTACAAGAGAATGCTGGCTTCTCTGTCACCACCAGCAGGATGGCTATTAAGCTCTGAAATGTACTTACATCAATGTAAGTTAAACAAATACTGTTCATTTGTTTAAAAAAAAAAATAAAATCTGCTGCCTTTTTTCTGTTTTCTCTTGACCTCACTCAAGCTTCCTCTTCTTCCTGCCTGCATGATGCAGGAAGGTATCCTGCAGTCCATTGTGGCACCCAGCCAGTATCTCTATTAGCAGCTCAGTTCACCAGCCTTACTGCTTTCATCCCTCTTCCCTGCTGCTGCTCCCTGGCACAATGCAGGGGTCATCCACAGGACAGCAGCCCCTCTGCAGGTTGAGAGGGAGCAGAAGTCATTCTCCATCAGCCCGGGTCAGATCTGGGACAGAACAGCTGGGAATGTGGGTGCTGCACATCATGGCTTTGCAGTCACAGGGCTCCAAGCAACTCTAAACGCACGGTCTACTGAGGACTTGTCCAATGAAGCCAAGCAGCTTTGTTCAGAGATGGTTATCACTGATGGAGTAATTTAAACAACAATTTAAACAACAAAAAAAGTCCTGAGGCAGATAGTACAGTGTGGTGTCTGTTTACAGCAGCTTTTCTGGGTTGAGTGTATGAACTATAAAGATACATGCTCAGTGGCAAAACCGAGAAGGGAATTTCATATACGAGAGTCAGCTGATAGACTGTGCACTAATAGCTTGCTAGAGTCTGAGTAGTCCCAAAAAGCAGTCCCTGAAGTAGGTTATCTTTAGCAAAAACTAGATTTAGAAACCTGCTACAAGTTAATGCTTAAGATTGGTTCCTGGTAATGAGCTCAGTCTCTAAAAAAGGTTTAATGTTTTAAGAAATACTGCTGAATAAATAAGCAGACACATTCTCCAAGTCCTGCTTTTTAAGGCTACACAAATCTCTGTTTAACGTTCACTTACATAAAAATTGAAGGCTTTCTGTGCGCTTCTGCCTGTGCTGCATGTGTGTCAGTATCCCATTGTGATGTGATCTAGTTGGCAACTGCTGGGCTGGATGCAGCCCACAGTGTTTCCTCCTTTCCAGCAGGAACCCTTGAAATAATGGGACAGTGACTCTGGCATGGAGCCTGGCCCAGAGTCAGGCAGGGGTGGCAGCTTCTCTCCTGTCTCCTTGGGAACAGCAGCACTGAGGGCATCTTTGGGCAGAAGCTCTTGCTGCTACTGCCAATGCTGTGAGTTTTGCAGATCTCCCTACAGCCCTGCTTGCAGCTGGACTGCCCTGTTTTCTGTTCTGTGAACAAAGACCTTGCTTTCAAAGCTCCTAATGTGTTAAAAATTCAAATGTCAGTGTTGCTCTCACATTTCTCATAGTAGAAGGTATTTAATGTATCTCAGGTAGATATTGTTTCTTAGCTGGAAATAATACAGATCCTTCTGAACCACCTGCTTTCTGTAAAAAGCAATTATCTGTTTTTTTTTTCAGTGTGGATAGTTGAAGAATCTTCCTGAAACTTAAGTGCCATATGAGCACTTTAATAAATAACACAGTACAACAGCACAAGTAGGAAAAAAAAGACTAAATCACCCAAAATCCAAACAAACTAAAAAACCCAACAATCCCACTATAAAACAAAAACACATTCACAGAACAACAGTGCACACACCCTTTTCACTTTGCAGTGATATGGAGTATGTGATGATCCTCAGTTGGCTGGACTGTATCATCTGGGTGGCTGGAGATTGCTTCCAGGCAGTAGGAGACTGGTGGGACAGTAGGAAGTACAGAATAGTTCAGTGTGTGGACATGACTGTGCAGCACAGCAGCAGCCCTGTTCCTGCTGTGATTCAGGCACATGTGCTGTCTCCTCTAATTGTCTTTTCACAGTTATTAATATTTGCTGTACATCACTGGAGTGAAGCTTTACATCTTGATAAGTGCTCTTGCAATGACGGACTTGATGTATGAATCCATTGCATCCTTGTTCAGTGAGGCTATGCTTCCCCGGGAGCTCTGGACACACCAGCTCTCCTGTTTGTTTTAGGGCACAAAGTTATTTTAGGGCATGTTGTTTGACTTTTTTCCCCTTTAAAAATCGAAATGCTTGTGTCCAAATCTGCACTGAAAAATAAGGTTGGGTTTTTACCAGCTGGGATCTAGTCTTGTCTATAATAAAATAGACAAGACTATATATATATATAGTCTTTATATATATATATATAATATATATATATATATAAAATAATAAATAAGGGCTTGTAATTTGAATTCTTAGCATGTTAATTACTATAATCTTAATTGCTTAATCCTATGTACTTTCCAAATGGTTACTGTCTTGTACTACATCACATGATGAGAGAGCTCACTTTGCAACTTTGAATCAGGTGTGTCTCTTCCTGTATTTTTGCTTAGGGCCAAATCAAGAATTTGTCACTGTCACAGTAGATTCTCTCCAGATTTCAAAGGAGTTGTGCTGAACTTAATGCAGATTCTGCTGAGAACTGTGTGGGTCCATTTCACATCCATTTACTGAGGCTGGACGTGCCATTTGGGCAGTGGGCACACTGATGAGTTGCTGTGTGTTGCAGTAGGTTCTGTAAGCTGTTGTTGTGTCAGAAGCAGCAGTCCTGTCTCTTCATTTCTCGTGTCCTTATAGCTGCCCAGCAGTTCTCGTGCATAGCAGATTTGTGATCACTGTGCAAATACTTCTTGGTGAAAGAACTGGAGTAGTAGAAGCTCAGGATTCCTGTTGAAGTGACAGACCTGCTATTTTAGGAAATGAAAAGAATTTCAGAACACATAACATAGTTTATACACAGTCTCTACAGCAGCAGTAGTGAGTTTTAACTTGAAAGCAAGCTTTCAAATTGTCTGCTTGAGAACTATCAGTAGAAAGAGCTAGAAAAGCAAAGGTTCTACTTCCATCATGAGAGTCCTTTGTACTGTTCAGTTGCAGTGTATGAGTGGTGTAAGAATTAAATCAGTCACTTTTGTCTGTGTAGGATACTTAATTTTACACTTTGCACCAGTGATGAGCTGTTAACAAAATGAATATTAGGTTTCAGCTGCATGCTCTCCCTTGCTTTGGAGGCCATGCCAGCTTAAGGAGTATTGCTCCTCCTTTACTTTAAGTAGTTATTTTTAACATGAAACAATCTAGTGTGCTGGCTACAAACAGTTGTTGGCATGAGAGTGGGAACAAATGGCTGGGGCTATTAGTGCAAGAGCTGCTTTTGCTTTATGTTGTTGCTGAGAAGATTGTGCTGAACTGTACCCAGATATTTGCTACTGCTCCATTGAGTATTTCTATTTAACAGCTCGATTTGCAGGACTGAACAATCCTAATCTCTTGCTCAGGATGGGACTTGTGTAGGCTGGTCAACCATCCTCTGAAACTGTGTGACTTGTTTTTCTTTGCTTTGTATGCCTGAGAACTAAATGGTATTTTAACGTGGTCAAGTAACATGCTTGTCCTTTTAGCTGTTTAGATAAGAAACTCATCTTCAATATTATGGAATCATTTGATGTAAGATAAAAGAGCTGCTTGATAATCATTCTTTCCAAAGGAGATCTTTCTGTATCTCCCATGTAAAAGGAAAGATGAAGACAAAAGTGATCAGAGAAGAAATACTAGCGCTCAGATGTGGCAAACTACCCTCAAATGTAGCCTTAGACTTAGGGCTGGCATTAAGTTAGTGAAGATACATCAGTAACAGAACCTGTTAGCCTGTACAGCCAGGCACAACTTCTTTGGTTTGTGATCTCATATTTCTGTCACCTACAGCTCTGCAATGTTGCTCAGTCACTTAAGTTACTGTTTTAAAATGTATTTTTAACACTTTTTTCCTGCTTTCTTGTGTATATAAAATTTGTGAGGATAAAATATAAAATAGTGGAAATCTTTATCTTCAACCACACTTTTAAAAATGAAAATGTTAAACCCACTGTCGTGCTACCTAATGCTGCTGGGAAAATGTCATGTTTGAATGAATTGAGCATTTCTGATGGATTTTGTTCTTTTAGGCACTTGCCCACACTCAAAAAGCCTTAATTCCCTAAAATAAAGAGAGTAAAACGAGACATTTGTAATGAAGCCAGTAGCTTATTTGCAACCTTTTCCTTTAAGATTAACATACAGTTAAACTGGGTAAAAGCAATGCTTAAAGCAAATCTAGATCTATTGCATGCTTACGTTCAGTGAATTTTGTGATATAAGGAAGCATGGGCTTAACCATCTTAAGCCAGCTTTAACAGCAAAACTAAAACCTCTGCTTTGATTTCAAATATACTGTTCTTGTGTTTCAGAGTCAGGGTGCAATAACAGAGAAACTGAGAAGTTTCAGTATGCATGATTTGACTACTATACAAGGAGATGAACCAGTAGGCCAGAGACCCTATCAGACATTGCCAGAAGCAAAAAAGAAAACCAGAGCCTCTGCAAATGAATCTGCAGGTAAGTATCTATCTAAAATAAAGGAACTTTGTTTTGTAAGGAAAAAGCAATACACGGCAGACAAAAATTGGAGAGAACAGCTGTATATTTACCTTATTCAGAAATTGAAAGATTTACAAGGGACTCCTAAACATTAGAACAGAATCGATGTGAACAAGATCTATTGCAGCATTAACGAGTTGTGCCCCTCAGCAGAGATTTTCTCACAGCTGCTAACAGTATAGTCACACCATACTCATTTCTCCTCTCTCTGTTAGCAATAATAGTTATATGCCAGATTAAAGCTTAATTGGAAGATTTTTTTTTTTTTTAAAAAGGTGATTAAGTAGTGTTTCTGTGACAGTGTACTAAAAGTTAAACATGAAAATTTATGGAAGCTCGGTAAACGGGAAGAGAAAATAAATTGCAGTGAATTCAGTGGAACTGCAATGATAGTTCTGGTCAAAATGTAAAATCGTCTGGTGGTTGGAATTACAAAGGCATTAAATAATCAATGTGGTGGTGCACATCAGCATTCAGAAGACAGTGTGCAGTGACTGAAATACTTTTGCAGAGATCCTTTATTATTAATGCACTGTATTCCTGAGTCTGTGTTGCTTGATGAAAGACTTCTTAGAGACTGTCCACTATTTTCTTTGACTGGAAAGGCTAGAATGGAAAAAGCTTGACATTTCTTACAAAAGAAACAGCTCTGGTCTATTTTTTTTTTTTTTCTTTCCCCTTTAATCTGTCTCTTCACCTCTCTGTTCTGAGGAGGTGGTGGTTGTGGACAGCAGTGCATTCCAGGAATCACATGGTAGCTTGCAGCATTTCTGAGGAGTGAATGGCCTTAAGCTGAATTGCTAATTGAGCCCAGAAGGTATTCTGTGATAGTCAGTGTAAAGTACTGGCCAAGGAAAAAGCCTGTGAATTCATCAGGAGTTATGTTAAGGATGATGTCACTGCAGCTGTTGTGCAGGGGCTGTTCCTCGGGAACAGGCCATTAGTTATGTCCCTGAAGCAGCTTGAAAATGCTGAAAATTCAATTTTGCCCACAGGTTATACTGTGTAAATAGTCAGATTGTGAGATTCAGTAACACATGTGAAAATGTTTTCTTAGAGCTAGTTTAACTGTTTCTACTTCTGGTCCCAAATACGGTGTGCACCTTTTCAGTTTTCTTTGAAGCTTTTTCAGCATTAGGGTTTTATACAAACAAAGAAAAATGCTATGTAGCAGAATGTTATTTTTTTGCTATTTGCTCTGGGAGTTCCTTTACAAACCAATTAGACCCAGATGTAGAAGGGCCCTGACTATACAATAGCTGAGCTGCCAGTACAGTTTTTGTTAAGAAGGCAAATATAATTTTGATTCATTGGAAGAGGTATTACAAATAGAGATAAGGAAGCATTCATGCCACTGCAAGCATCTCTAGTAAGTAAGTAACAGATATGATTCAATTTTTCCATGCTTAAGATATGAAACTATCGGAGGCAGTGATCAGGTTTGCCTCTATTACAGCAGAAGAGGCAGGTATGCCTTGCTTAGCTATGGAGTTAGGTAAGCTCAATTCTAATTTCAGGAAAAAATGAAACAACCAAAAGAAAATGATCTACTTTGGCTTAAGAAAATATTAAGATGAAATGTGTATTGGTAATGAATAAAGCTAGGTTTGGACTCTAAAAGATGTCCGTAAGTTTGTTCCAACTTGTAGCTTATAGAATAGCCTTTCTAAAAAGAGAGTTTGGCAGGGGACCTGGTGACACTTGGGATCTTTATGACATGTCAGTGGTGAAATGTCTGGGCTTTTGGACTCCAAGGATCTTTCCAGCACTGTTTTTAAGCAGTTTGCTCCCTCTAGTGAAAATGTTTGTTAATAGCCTTGGTCTTAGTTTTGCAGGATTTGAACAACCTCTTGTAACTAACTACTTAGTAACCCTAACTACTTTGACATTCTGCCCATCTGAAATGAATTTTGGTGTTAAAGACGCATAGATAGATGCAGATATGAAGAAAAGTATTAATCTAGAACTAGTTTTAGATACTAATATCTAGAAAATGTGAACTAAACTCTTGGCAGTAAATTGGAGAAGTGGAGTAAAAAACATAGGGTTTGTTTCTCTTGGGAGCAAGCAGGAGGAACAAGAAGGCTGAGGGAAGAAGCAAAATTATTTCATATTGATAACGTTTTTGTAGAGTTGAGAATGAAGAACGTAGTGCTCTTACTCTTGATGTCTCTTCTGGCATTAAAGACACGTCACTAAAAACATCATCAACAAGCATAGTTACACAATGTTTCCAAAGTGAGAAATAACATGAGGCTCAGAGTTATTTCCTCATTTTGATGACTGCTTTGAATTTGTCCTGAGTTGAATCTTTTACATTAATCCCAAATTGCAGTAGCTAAAAATTCTTTTAAGGAAACTTGAAACTTCATGTCTTCTACTCAGAAATGTCAGCAAATCTGTTTGTTTACAGGGAGTCCTCTGCAAATGGAAAAGCAATATAAACTTCTAATGGGAGTGGCAATGAGGAGGGAGGAGAAAAGTAAACTTGGGCAGCTGGAAACCTTCTGGCTTGTTTTTTGCTCTGAGATAGTAAAACAAACAGTGAAGGAAGGAGTCACCAAGTAAAATGCAATGCAGATTATGAAATGTATAAAGTGGTTTATCTCTAAGAAGTTTGCCTTTTTTTTTTTTTTTTAATGCTTTATTTTACTTAAGTATGCAGCAATTCCATAGTCATAATAAGAATGGTGGATAGTAGGTGCCCCGTTTAGTAGCTTTTAAAGCGGGTGTCTTTCAGCATAATCTGTTGTGAATTGTGAGTATATGAAGGGGTTATTCTTGTCCAGGTGTTTGGTCCTGGCATCAGTGTTACTCAACACATTATTAAAGACTCTGGAAAACTATAGGATGTACATGAAATAAAATATAAACTGGGAATAAGAAGAAGGATTTTTGTCTATTTTGATGTTAGTTAGTTTGTTTTCCGAGAACAGCATTCAAGCAGCAATATTGCAAAAAGTCTTAAGTACTTCTGAATGAGGAATGAGATTCTTGTGGTTCATTGTAAAGAAGAATATGGCAGCAAAGTGATGGTTTGACATTTAATGGACTACTGCATTACATACCTGTGGAACTAAATGGCTTGTTACTTACAAATGGCAGGATGTGCTGCTCCTGGGAGGATACTGTTTTTGAAACAGATGGAAGAATGACATCTTTTAAATGAATGAAGGATGTGTGTTAAGGAGAAACTTGTGGCTTTCTTAGAAATGTAAAAGTCACAGCTCCTTTTTACTTAAGTTTTTATACAACTGTTTTTTAAAGGTTTTCCACTGGAAAAAAATCCTGGAGATGATAAAACAGATGAAGAGGTAGAAGGAACACATTCAGAGGATGAAATGTTTGCTCAGAGAGGCCTTCGAAGAACTCAGAGCATGAAGTCTGTGAAAACTATTAAAGGACGTAAAGAGGCAAGGATAATTTTACTTGAATGTACTTTTAGCAGTATAGCCTGGCATTTTTCATAATGTGGGAACTGAGTTTTTTTTTTTTCTTAAACGTAGAGGGGGTATCAACAATAACTGTTAAGTGAACAAAGAAATAATGGGTCATATCTAGGCTTGGAGTTTTGTATTTTGGGATGCTTAATGAAATTATGTTAATTAGAGAAATTAACTACATGTAGATATGAGAATGAGGAGATGTAATAGACTCCATGCTTGTAGGGTTAAGGCCGGCCAATCCCAAATTCCAGAAATGACTTTCTTTGGATGGGATATAAATAAGACACCTGGAGTGTCTTCACTGACCATATTTAAGCATCTGTTGTTTAATAGATTGAAGATAATTCAGGTTTTTTTTAGTTTCCATAAACACATGACCTGCTCTGACTTGTAACTCCTGAGGAGAAGATTGTATGTAGGATTCAAAGTGTTTTGTATTTGCAAGTGTTACAAACCTGAAGAATAATGTTTAGAATAAATGCTTATGGAATATCATAAAATCTTTTGGATAATTCTGGGAAAACAGCTGAGACTTAACCTTCATGCCCAGTTTTGTTGAAGATCCGTGTCATCCAGTTGTAGGCAGAGGATTTTTCTGAATCTGTGGAGTGCTTAAAAGACACTAAGAGATATAAGAACATAGGAGTATTGGAGAGGTTAATATTTCTGCCTGATGTGATCTTACCTCTTTTAAGTTCTACTTTCTTTTTCCTCCTCAGATACGATACGGATCACTGAAATACAGAGTAAAGAAGAGACCCAATGTGTACTTCTAAGTTTACTGCACAATGCCTGTGAGACAAGCTGCTGTATTATAACAACTTGAATTCAGTACTTCAAGTGTTAAAGATCTGTGTATGATTCATATAATGAATATATATGAATAGATGTGGTAGGACTTGGTTTTATGAGCCTAAATGATTGGGTAGTGTATTACTCTGCTTTTCTGTAATTGCTTATTGTTAGACTTAAATCTGGAGAAGCTATAGGATAAATTTCAGCGCTTCGTAAATAAGGATTAAATGAGTTACAGGAAACAGCCTGACTTTTCCAGAGGTATTGAGCAGACTGAAATAATTACAAGTCCAAACAAATTAGCAGAAGCTGTAAGTGTTTGGAGCTTGTGAAAGTCAAACCCATAGTATCCTCTAGTTTACGTGGAAAAAAATAGGTATACTTGAAATATTTTTCTGAACTACAGTTCCTGAAAAGTCCTTCATGTAATTTTAAAATGTACAGTTTAAGGAACAGTGGGTAATAATGAGGAAGGAAAAACAAAGATACAGTATATCCTTAAGATCATCTTTTCACCATATATTTCCAAGCTTAACAAACTTGTGTAATAGTAATAGGTGCAAAATGGGGGTACGTTTAGCACTTTATGCAAAACTGTGTAGTTTTGCACACTTACTGATTTATAGCTGCACATGTAATTTTAGTGAATTCTTAGGCAGGTTAGACTTATATTGTAGGCTTTTTATAACTCACATTGATTGCTTAGGTACACTTAGGGTGCTGTAGATAATCGCAGCTAACACTTAACAATATTATCAGGTGCCTTTCTGTGTCTTACAGGGCTGTGGTATTATCTGGTTTTTGTTTGTTTCACTCTTTTTTTTTTTTAACCTTCCTCTTCAACTAGAGAGATGTAACAAGATTTAACTTAGTTTTTGGTTAAAATTGTGGTAAGTTTAACTTGTAGCAATTCTGGTGACAGATCTCAGGGATCTGAGCAGCCCATCTACTGCGTAGGATAAGTCATGCTGAAGTGGCAGCATGTATGATAGATCATTCAGGCCCTGGTTTGGTTTTGCTCTGCGTACCTGTAAGAATATATATATATTTAGAACATGTATATGTGTATATTTCTCATGGTGTGTAGATTCTAGAATTGGCTATGTAGTTTTTTACTGCTAAAATTATTACTAAAATACTGACTTACAAATAGCTTTTTCTAAAACTCTAGCACATTGAATCAGCCTTGTCATATCCTAATGTCAGTGATATAACTATTTGCACAGAGATTAATTTTGGAATGCCATACTTGTCAAAATGACCTCTCGACATCCCCTTCAATGCTGTTTTCTGTAATTCTGAGAAGTAGGCTGATTTTAGTTTTCTATGTGACTCTTTCTAGTGTGGATACGGGGAGGACAAATCCTCTTTTGTAGATAGTATTTTTTATTATGTGGCATGGATAGACATAGGATTAATTTTCTTTAAGGGAAGATGACGTGTTATCCCTCCTATCCTTGATGCTCAGACTCCAATCCTTAGACTTTCCCCCAGATTTGACAGTCATCTGCAAGTTTACTGCAATGCTTTTAAACACCTGCTGCAGTTTTTCTTCATATTGTTACAGCCATAGCAGTCTTGCTGCTGGTGGACACCTAATAGCCTGTCAATACAGACTGGCTTTTCTTTTCTGTATAGTCTTCTGTAGACTGCCTTGGGCCAGGGTTTGAGTTATGCGGATAAAAATGCAGCTGGTCTGTATTGGCACTGTATTATTCATTTGCTATTATTGTCCTTTATAAGCCAAGTGCAGAGCCTTGGACAGATGTAACAATATTGTTGGCACGGTGCTTTCAGTGTCCTCCAAGGAAGTTAAATGCCTTTAGCAAGAAGCTGCAACATTCCATATGTGATCAAAAGGCCAAAGCTTTTTTTTCCCCCACTTCTCTCAAGAATTTTGTTTCACATGAGAAATGATTAGCAAGGTAGCATCCTGGGGTGGGGCTTGCAGCTCATGTCCCGTAAGTGTTTGCAGTTCTCATCTACTTCCTTGAATGTAGAAATCACCTAAGAAGGGAAGGGCTGTTTATGTATTAAGGTGTGTAAGGTGTTAGGAGAAACAGAGGTTTTTGTATTTGCATCTCACCTCTCCTTGAACATTAGGATAACCTGGGCATTGAGTAGAATATACAAATCTTATTCTCCAGTTGAGCACTTGCTGCCACATCTTGCACTAGCTCCTAATTTTGATTGGTGAGAGTGGCAACAAAATTGCCATAGTTTTAGGAATTAGAATCCTGTGTGAAAGAGCTGGGAAAGCCCTTCTGTCAGAATTCTAGTTCCTGTTACAGTTTCATGTAGTCCTGTTTCTGGGCTTATATTCTTTTCTCAGTTCCAAGGATAGAGGTCATTTGAGTAAAAGGTTAGGCCTTAGCATGCTGGTGGTCAATAAGTTGCTTTATGCATTGTTACATACTTAGGGCTGTAACCTCTGACAAATGCAGCTTGCTAGTTAGGTAGTGACAGGCTGCACAAACCCTCCTGTTCCTGAAATGCATATGGGACTAGGAAAGCCAGCAGTATTATTCATGTTAATTACTGTTTCCATATAAATATATTTGTGTTCTCTCAGACATCATCTTAAGTGATAAAACATCCAGTGTTTTCCTAGCTGTTCTTTTGGTCTACCGCCCTGCATTGGGTTCTGCCTCCCCCCAGCAGCTCGATTCTTCTCTTTGCATTCATCCTGGAACCACTTCCTGATATCTTCAAGTTGTTTTTCCTTCCTGTTCGTTGTCAGCAGATCTTTCACAGGGCTCAGTGGCCTGATGAGCTTTCACCTAGATTATGCATATTTCTTGTTGAATTTAGTTGAGTTTGGTTTGGGAGTATCTTAAACTTTGTGGATTTTCAACCTTTTTTGTTTTTGCCTTAGTAACTGCAGAGGTCATCTGCTGAGATCTACCCAGTAAAATTCTGGGAAGAAAGTTAAACTAAAGAAAGTTAATTTTTTTTCATTTTGGAATTTTAACTATATAGTTGTTGTGAACAAAACGTTTCCTGAGAATTGACTGACTGCTACCAACAGAACTGCTAAGACAGGTAAAGAAAAGGTTACGCAGGGGTCAAAGGAAGTTTAAAACAGAATATGTGTTTCCTGTTTAATTATGTATTCTGGAAATGCTCCAAAACTTTGTATCTGAACTGACTCAGACTTGTCAGCAAGAGCGCGTGCTGTACGTATTCAAATACACCGTTTGAGACAAGGGTTCACCTGATGGCCTCAGTTGCAAACACACTGTCTGGACTGTGATTACAAGGTAATTGCCAATATTTGCTAATGAATGCTAATTGCTTAGCTGCGTCAGAATGCTATCCAGTGTACTTTTTGCGGGCTGTAATGAGTTTTAAAATGAATACAAGGTAATTTAGTTAAGCAGAATGGTGGAGTAAGTGCTAGATGCATTTAACATGCTGTTAATAACAAAAAATATGTTTTATTTTGGTGTTACTTTTATTAATGGGAAGTTGGTATTTTAAAGTATTTTTGTACAAAAATGTATGTGCACAAAGGCAATACTTTGATATTTTTCAAGAACTCATATTTTTAAATGCTACAGACCAGAGACTGTCAGACATGGAAACTGAAGTTAGTAGCTTTAAAAAATGCAATGTAAGCTTTACTTTTTATATTGTAATGATAACTTTGCTGTCAATTTGTTTACACGTTTGTAGTAGGGAATGTTTCATTACGCATTGACTTACCTTGATGCTACCTTGAATAAACGCTGCTTTGAGCAGGATGCAGTGGCTATTTTATTGCCTACACGTGATGTAATGTGTGTAGACACGTGTAATCCAGGTTACGTTACATTTTATTGTTACAATTCGTGTGCCGAGTCAACCTCTGAACGCTGAAGAGCCTTCTGAAACTGTGTGATGACTAAACTGCCCTTGAGATTTTGCCATGGAGCCTGACTTTAGACTCGATTCAATGTGCCCTGCACAAGGTAAACACAGCAGCCACCTATTTTCATGAGGTGTTCTGCTCAGCTCAAGTCAAAACAAGAAAACGTTTCTCAGGAGAGTACGGATTCCTGGGGAAGGCTCTCTGTGCGTGCTGCACCGCTCTTCCCGCAGCTGTCGGCTCCCCCGGCCGCAGGTGGCTGCGGTTGGTGGCTCTGCGCTGCCGGCCCGGGTTGCGGCGGGCAGCTCCCGCGTAAGCCGGGCGGACCGCCGTGAAGCGCGCCGCTTATCCTAAAGCCGAGCTGAACGGAGGGGGCGAGCGGCTCCCACGGTGAAACTTCCTTAGAGCCGCGCTTGGCGAGCGCAAGCCCGCTGAGCAGCCTCGCGGGGCAGCGCCCGGCTCGGCGTGCCGGGGACGCAGGTGAGGAGGGCGGGGAGCGCGGGGCGGGGCGGGGCGGGGCGGGCGCAGCTGAGCGCGGCGTGGCGGGCGGGCGGGCCATGGCGGCGGGGTTGGAGGAGGCCTTCGGCGCGGCGGGGGAATTCGGCGGCGCGCAGCGGCGCCTCACCGCCCTGCTGGTGCTGCTGCAGGTCAGGAGCCGGCGGGTCGGGGCCGCGCCTCCCCCGGGGGGCCGTGCCGCTGCCGGCCGCTCCGTCGGGCCTCCGCGCGGCTCCCGCTTAGCGGAGTTCATTCGCTTTCTGTTTCCTTATTCGCGCCTATGCGGCTTCCACTTTTCGAAGGGAGTCTCTTCCTGGCCGGGAAGCGAGGCTGGAGCCGTTCGTATCTCCTGCCCGGAGCGCAGCGAGCGGCAGAGCGGCGCTGGCGCGGCAGAAGGGCGCTGGGTGCTGCTGGCGCCGCGCCCGGGGCTTTGCGGGTCCCGCGCTGGGCGCCGTGTGCCGGCCGCGGTGCCGAGTGAACGGCAACTGCTGTCGTGTGCGGGGCTCGGTGGGACGGGAACCGTTTGGCTAAGCGGCTGTGTCTCGTCGCCAGGTGTACGTGGCGTGTCAGTCCGTGCTCGTTGTGCTGGTCGGCGCGGTGCCCCAGTACCGCGTGGAGCGAGCGGCGCCGGCGGCCGGCGGGGCTCAGCGCGTCCGCTTCCTGAGCAACTTCACCTCCATCGTGACCGAGGTGAGAACGGCCGCTCCGCTTTCTCTTTCCTTCGGGCTTTTTGCAGCCAGTGCGAGACATTACCGTGCTGTTAAACGTCAGCCCGCCCATCTGGCTCTGCTAGTTTATTCTTATTTTCTAAGCTGAAAGTATACGATTAAATTATTAGCTTTGCTTTCCCAGTGTAAAACCAGTACTAGTTTGCATTAAACTGTAGTGCTGGGTGCTAGGGGGCTGGAAGTAAATCCAACTGCCGCACGGATGTGAGGAGCCAGGGGATGTCTGTTACGGTGATGGCAGTGTGGGCAATGCTTCTGTCGGCAAGCTGCAGTCAACCAGTTCCTTTTATGCAAATGAAGTAGATGGATGGGCTCTTTTAAACTCCAGTTACTTCATTGATGACTGTCACACTTGGTAAAACGGGGGCGTTTCCAGCGGCACAGTAAGCAGCACGAGTAACATCTTGCAAAAGCTGTCTTTTGCCCTACTCTTTTCTGTGTCATTTGCCACTCTCAGATGCAGAGGTAGATGGGAATCATTCAGTGGGATCCCCCCTCCTCCCTCTCCCCCCCCCCCAAAAAAAAAAAAAAAAAAAAGGAATCATATTTGTTCCCGTACTCTGTGTTTGCATGGTGTGAGGAGAGCAGGTCAGAAGATAACTATAGGAAAAGACAAAATGACTTTTTAATTTTGAGAACTTGAGTTTTACAACCATATCTGGGGCCTGAAAGGTTGTGTTGCGTCTCAGATCAGCCTGGAGCACTGCAGATGAGAACCAGGAGTTTGCAGTTTGTGTGCTGAGGAGCACTGGCATGGAGGCCTTACTCCAGCAGTGCTCTGTGCCTCCGAGAGGGCATGCTGTGATATTTGTTTTCCAAATAAAGTTTCCTGAGGACTTGTGCCCAGGAATGTTTTGTAGCTCCCAGAACTTACTTTTTCTTCTCTTTCTAAGCAGACATAAGCAATGTTTTTATCTGCCAAAATAGGGTGAAGCGGTGTCCTGTGAAAGCAGTGAGATCCTGCTCCTGCCAACCTGCAGGGGCTGGTGGGCAGTGGTGGATGGAGCCGTGTCTCCTATGCGTGCTGCCCTTTGTGGGTCAGGACTTGCTGGCTGAGAGCAGAGGTTGCTTCAGAGCGCCGTGATGAGAAGATCCTGTAAATTCCTAGTAGTCTGAGGATCTGTATGAATTTGAGTCTGATGCCACAGTGCTGAGGCCATGGTGTGCAGTGTAGGATTCTGGTCTTAAGTCTTTTCCCCCACCCCTTTAATCCTCTTACTTCTCAAAAACAAGCAAGCAAACAAACAAAAGAAAAGCAAATGGCATTAGGATCCTTCTTCCTTTCCCAAAGGGAGATGCTGCAGATGACATTTACACAGTCAGCACGATGCTGTCTTGGTGTGAATACTCATCCATGTATATCCAAGTAAACTTCCTTGCACGTTTCAGTCATTTCTTTGGGTAGAGCTTTGCACTGAATTAGTTACGTTCTTTCCCTGGAAAATCGCTTGGGTTGTTCTGATCACGCTTCTTTCCCAACACGATGTGAGCAATGTCTGTAATCCCAGCAGTGCTGCTGTGACCGCAGGTCTCGGTGTGCTGGCTGCCCGCCTCCTCCTGTCAGGAAATGCTTGGTGCTTTCTGTTTCCAGCACACTGCAGTTCTTTTTCTTCCTTTCTGCACAAGCATAATTTTTTGCTTATGCTGCCTCAGTTGGGCTTTTGCAGGAGATCCAAAGCATGTTTTATAAAGAAAAGCATCGTTCGTGTCTGACTTCTGTTTGATCATAACCACGTGCATGGGGTAAAATACTAAAAACATCACTGAGCAGTCAGTAAGTATTTCTTAAAGCTCTTATCAAACAAGGCTTCACCTGGAATCTTTTCAGAATCCTTTTTCTCTTCAGCACTTCTGTGTGTGTGTGTACCCTGAGGGGCACCAGCTCCAGGAATTGTGGCTGCACAGCAGCAGCTGTCTCAGTATTGTAGTAGTAAACACTCTTAATTCTTGTTAATGAGTTTTATTATCAGTTCACTGAAATAACTGAGCTTGTTCAGGGTCGAGATGGCCAAGCTGTTAAAAATTCAAACTTCCCTAACTTTACAGGTGAGTTACTTTGTCAAATCTTGATACTGCATTAATCTCAGCTTCAGATTTGTTAAGTTTATGATGATATTTCTTGAGGAGAGAAAGCGAAGGGGTTGGGTCACTCATCAAACTTGGAACAAACCTCTAATTGGGTATAAAGCAAGCAGTGGGAAATTACACCTGAAAACTTTTAGTAGATGTCTTTGCTTTTGAGAAAGTTGACAAATTGTCATTAATATTTATGATGATAAAGTGATTCAATTTTTTTTTTTTTTAATAGTGGTATCTAATTGAACAAGAAGCCTACAAAGTGGGCCTTGCATCATCCCTGTTTTTTGCTGGATTGCTTATTGGAAATATCACATTTGGCCCTTTGTCAGATAAACTGGGCAGGAAACCAGTATATATCTCAGGTAAGGCTTTAAATGTCCTCCTTGAGTGTTCTACTGGACAGCAACATCCCCATTTCTGCCCCACCAGTGGTGTGGAGTCAGTGATCTATATCAGCATCTCACACAGACTAAAGCAGCACTGAAATGGGCTTCTGTGTGTGCTAAGCAGCATAGTGGTCACTGGAATATCAAAGGCTGACATAAAATAACCTGGTTTTGCTAAGACTTGCTATTTGAGCATAGTGCTGCAAGTATTGCCTGACTGTATTACCGCCTGTAAGAATATTCTTTTTTGGGGGGGAGAGGAGCATCATTTACCTCAGCCTTTTTGGAATGGATTATTCATAAGCTGGTGCTTTGTTTTCCAGCTGTGCTTGCAACAAAAGGGTTTTGGTTTTTTTTAATGATAAGATTGTCTCAAGGGAGTATTACATTTGTCATTGGGGGGACTTGGAGATTACTGTAATGTTAGTATGGTGTAGTTTCAGAAAGCCAAACATAAGAGTGAGAACGCTATATATGTTATTCACTAGAGCCAGTAACTCACTGTGCTCCCTGCCTTTCCTCTGAGGTCGTGCTGCACAGCATAAGTACTAATCATATTTTCTTCTCTCTCTGCAGGTCTATTTTTTGATATCATTTTTGGGTACGTCACAGCATTAGCTCCAAATTATGGCATATTTGCAGTTTCACGTTTTCTTGTTGGAATTGTGAATGGTGGAATGGCTCTTGTGTCTTTTGTCCTGACACAAGAATATGTAGGAAAATCATTTTGGTCATTTACAGGTGGGATTTGAGAATATGTAATCGTGATTTCTGTGCCAAGTGCTGTTCTGACTACCAGTGCCTTGCTTTGTGCAGGTGTGGGCATTGACAATGTGAAGTTAGTGTGTGGCATGCCAAATGAACACGGTGTGATTCATCCGAGTTCTGAGTTTTGTGGGGGTGCTGCCTGAATGAGAAATACAGGTTGGGTTTGTTGGATAAATAGCAAAACTGAGGCTTTTAAATAGATACCCTTATTTGTGCACTGCAATACATAATGGAAAAAAAAATATGTGTTTTGACACTAATCTAACTTCTCAGTGGTACTGTATGATATCTTGGGAAGAGATTTTTTTGAAGTGTGTTTTGAAGTTTCCCTGCCCCACACCATGATGCAGGGTTTTTGTCTCTGTTGGATGTGCTGACCATCCACTATTTCTAAATGTCCCTTTTCATATGCTGCTGCCAAGGTTTAAGATAAATGTAAC